ACTAAAATTAACATACTATAGCTAACTATTAAACAGATTATGTTTACATTTCGTTAAAATACCATTACCCTACATGATTGACACTACCCGCAAATAGCACGAGCTAATCGCGGCGGGCAGTGATAACAATTTACAGAAAGCCTAGAATCAGTTAGATGTCAACGTTTCTATAAAGCACGTAAAGAGATAATTAATTAAATGAATAAAGTAAAAGAAAAATTCAATAGTTGAAGCACACACTTATTTTTGAAGGCTAGCTGAATTACAGACAGTAATTGCGATAGGAAGACATACTTATGGACCGCGCGTTCTTGGAAAAAGAGCTGCGGAATCCATATAATCATCCTCAGCTGCGAGGATTTTAAGAAGTGAATTATGAATTTTTTGCTTAAATTCCTAGCGAGAGAGTCAACGTGTAGCGCGCACTACTTAGAGAATTCCAAATGACGCGTGCTTGTGGAAACAGGCCTTGAATGTCCGACTCTTAATGAGTATCTATATGTAGAGAGGGAGAAAAGCGAATAATATGTTGCAGGAAGTCTTTCCTTTCTTAAAACTGAGATATAACATGCAGACAGTCGGAAGCCGTTGGAAGAGCCTTGTAGTTAAGCTTAAAATGTCTGGAAGGCCTAGAAAAGTCAGCTCAACATTCATGTTTTAAATACAAACATAATAAGTGATCCGCGCTTCCCGTTTCTGGCTAATTCGCCAAAATCCGCCAAAAAAAAAAAAAACCTTTAAATCCGAATCCCAAGTACCTTCTTAATTCAAATCCGTTGTTGCACAAACGAATTGAAACATACTACTCTCTAGCTGCAATAAAGTAGTTTTTAATTTCCACACGTATTTACAAGTTCCAAGTTTAAAGTCCTTCCCTAGCTGAATAGTTCATACTAGACAATAGTTCAGAAACACTTTTCCAATAGCTTATAGAACTGACAAACACTTATTGTACAAGTTGACATATCGGCATTATTGAACGTGCCCTTAAGCCGTCGCTGCAATCTTACAATTAATTAGTTTGTGGTATTGTTAAAATGATGGATCAATAAAAACAGTTTGTCTCAATTTTTAGTTTGTTTCATTATCAATCTAGTTGCAAAGCTTATAGAATCACTGTAAGACCCAACAAAAGAACCCTTGCAACTTAGGGACGGACCATTAGAAAAGTGATGGGGGTGGTGGGGAATTTTCAGCTTGCACGAATTTTTTTTTTTTTCGCTCACTGCTTGTGCAGGAATTTTTTTTTCAGGTGAACCCCTCTGCACGAATTTTTTTTTTTTTTTCAGACAACTATTGCTTTTTTTTGAACAGTGAAATCTTGATTCATTATCTATGTTTTTGTGCTTTATAAATTATTCTACACTCAAAACAGATCAAAGAATACAGGCCACTTTAATGCAAACTCTTTTCGAAAATGTGCACACAGTGAGAGAGGAGGAAGCTACTTGGAGTGGACGGCTTCCCTCTGCATTTTTTTCAGTCCCTGCCCTCTGGAATTCCTCTCCCACAGCCCATCATAATGATGCCAGTGAGAAATAAGCGTTCACAGGCCAAACACGACTCATAAGCTCGTGATAATGTGAAACGTGACCTTGAGAGTCTGCTTCTTTTTTTCTCTCATCGCGCGAAGGTTACTAGCACTACACAGTGCAAGACGTGTAGCATTCTAAACTTTGACTGAGTAAGTCTTGTATTTGCCGCATTAAGTCTTATATTTAGAGGTCATAAAGCAGTTTACATGCATACTGAGTAATCATTTCCTGTGGGTTATGCTTCTGTAGGTGTCCCTGATAGGATTTGATTTCAGATGCAGTTGTAAAGTATTTTATATCCTTTGACCTCTGTTTATTACGGCTGAATAAAGATTTTTGTTTTTTGGGTTTTCTCCGAAATGACTGTATCTGAATAACTACATGCATGCATGCAAGTTTCTTTGTCCGTAAATGCGATTATTTCCTGCCTTGTCAGTATGACTCTATATTGTGGTTTGCAGGATTTTGAATTTCCACGGATAGTGCGATCTTCAGATTTGAGTTGTACACTGTAGCTTTAAACTAAAGCTACATCGAATCAAGGTTGGATAAATATGCCGTGCGTCAGTCAAGATAATTCTCTAAGCGCTCACAAAGTCCATTTAGTTTTTCTTAACATAAGTGAGTCTTTGAACTAGAGCGCGACGTCTTGTTGTTCCTTCGTAGGTATTTACTTAAGTGTTTGCTTAACAGTCGTCTACGCGACTGCAATAAATTCTTAAGCAAGACTACAGTTTCGGAACTATAGCGTTCCTCGTCAGTTGCTACTATGGTAAAGTCTTAGGTACAGAGAGCGAAGCAGTCTGTTTAAATACTGGTGGCTAACTTGCCTTTGGCTGCGAAAGTGACCAATAGCGTAGGTGTATCTTTGATCCGCGTTCTGTTGTGCTTCCTTCAAGGTCAAAAATGCTTTTTTGGGCTGAACTGGTGTGACAGTATCTGACAGTATATTTACAAAGATACCA